ATTGACAGATGGATGATAGAGAGAGATGATAGATGATTGATAGAGAGATGGTGGATGATAGATGATGAAGTGATCGATAATAATAGATGATGGATTGATAGATAAATGGATAGATCACAGATACATAGATAGATGATAGGTGATTGATAGACGGATGGTAGACGATAGAGAGGTGATAGATGATGGATGGATAGATAATTGATGGATAGATAGATGATACATAGATGATTGATAGGTAGATGGATGATAGATACACACGTGGTTGACAGACAGATGATAGATGAGAGATAGATCTGATATCCATCTACAGTTCTTTTTATGGCATCCCAAGTTAAGCAGATAACTAATTCCGAGAGAAATGTTGTCTTTCTTTAAATAACGTGATGCCTTCATCAAGGCAAACATTCTTATTTTCTCCACTATAGCGCACACACTGGAAGTTTGCCCTTTTCCTATCCATCTCTGTATCTGTGCGAGCACCTCCCCAAATAATTTGAGTATGGTAGGGGCTCCATAGATGGTCGAGAAATTTAATTAAAGTGCCTCTTGCCTCTAGGGGAGTTCTAATGAGACTCTAGGAATGAGATTTTCAGGTACAGTAAAGACATATTTTTGGGCAGGTGACTCCCAGTGAACTTCAGGTGACGTTGTGGACAGAAGCCTTCCCACATAAGTGGTAGACGGAGAGAGCACCACTCAGGTGCCAAGAGAAGCCACATTAAGGACTAGGTTCATAACTCACCTGTAACTAGGAGTCTAGACAAACAAGGTAAATTTTTCTAGTTTCATGAAAGTTAAGAGAAATACAAAGGATATTTATGGCTACCGATGAATCCCCAGAAGTTGAAGGGCCTGAGAGGATGCAAGTAAACGGAATTTTCACAGACAAGGCAGGGAGCAGACAAGTTGTGAGATGGGGAACAAGATTAAAGTAGGGAGTTGGACTACTTTAGGAAGGCAGAATCATGCAAGTCTCAGGATAATTAGCAGATCTGTTTAATTATACCAGAGTGGAGAATAGTGAATTGATCAGGGAGTCAGTGATTTTCAAGTCCAACATATGGTGGCATATGATTTCAGGAAGATAATTTTGTCTCTAGGATAGAAAGATTGAGGTGGAAGTTTGTGAGCTGCTGCTGTGGTCCAGGTGACAGATGGTTGTGAAATTGTTGGGCCTTGTGATATGGTGAGCTGTCTTTTCTGGAAATGTTTTGTCAGAAGCCACAAAGGAGTGGTGTACATGGAGTCTACCTTTGAGTGAATGCAGGAGAGACTAATGGTTTCCAAGGTTTGGTTCAACACTAGTATTCCGTATGTCCATGAAATGA